CAAATGATTTTAAGTTTAAATCCTTGTTTAATGATAATTTTTTAAATATATGGTAAGGGGCCTCACTAATAAGTCCAAGAATTATAGTGGAGAGCATTTGAGTAAAGATCACAAAAGAAGAAAAACATAGGCAATTTTGTCAGCAGATAGACCACTTGTCCAGAAAGAGAATCTAAATGAGGGATGCAGGAAACAGATAATAAATCTGGCAGAAAGCTAGAATCCAGTAGTGAGGATATAGAAGTTATCCAGATACTAGATGCTAGAGTTCTCTCTCTATTAAAAGCAGATCAGCTAATAATTTATTTGCCTTAATGTAAAACTCATCCTTTAAAAGTACAAAGAATCAACTAAGGGAAATCTCAGATTGGAATCAATCCTCACTAACAGAAAGGAACTGCTTCTTGAAATGGAAATAATGGGAAATGTGGGAGGAAGTTACCACTCTCAGGAAAAGTTTGTAATAGAGGAAAGGAAAGTCAGACTTTGACATAGCTGAGAGGAAGGATAGATAGGCAGGTTCCCATGGACTAAAATTCTATAGAAGTCGGCATAGGAGAGATGAAAAAGTCTCAAGAATGAAATTTTGAAGTCAAAATGAAACTATTTCAATAAGGAAGAAAAATGAAGTCTGAAGAGAGTGCTGTAGGTCCACAGGGAACCCACCAATTAATCAATTAATAGACATATACTACTTACTGAATCAGGCACTCATCTAAGTGTTGGTGATAAAATAAAAGCAAAAAAACAGTTCCTGCCTTTAAATAAAATAAAAAGCAAAAAACAGTTCCTACCTTTGAGGAATTTAACGAGGGAGATACCATATACATGAATAGATAAATAACTGAAATATACATAGAATAGATAGAAGGTAATATTAGAGAGGTAGACTGCAAGCACGACATATGGATAGTGTTGGACTTGTAGCAAGAAAGACCTTGGTTCAAATTCAGCCTCAGACACTTATTAACTGTGTGACCCTAGGCAAGTCATTTAAAACTTCTTGGCCTCATCTTTTTAATCTGTAAAAGGAGGAAATTGGGCTAGATGATATTTAAGCTCCCTTCCAAGCTGTCAATCTCAGAATCTATGAAGGCATTAGAAAGTAGGGGAACCAGGAAAGGCCTCCTGCAGAAGGTAACATTTGAGCTAATTCTTGAAGGAAGCCAGGGATTCTGAGAATTAGAAGGTGAGTAGGAAAAACATTTTAGGCCTGAGACATAGCCAGCATAAAAGAATATAAACAGAAGATGGAGTATCCTATGAGTAACAGCAAGTAGGGCAGAATGGATCAACCATAGTGTGCATGGAAAGGAATAAAGAGTTAGAAGACTGGAGAGATAAAAAGGATCAGGTTGTGAAATGTTTAAATACCAAAGAGAGCAGCCTATAGTAGCTCCAAAAAGTAAGAGGGAGCTGATGAAGTTAACTTAGTAAAGAGAATGACACCTTCAGACCTATACTTTTGGAAAAATCACTTTGTAGCTACGTGGAAGATGGAATGAGGAGCAGGAAGAGACTTGTAGGGAAATCAGTCAGAAAGTTATATAATAGAATACATAAAAGGTGTTCAAAGTCTCAACTAGGGATGTGGTTTTCTGAGTGGTGACTGGGTATAAAGTAGGATGTATGAAGGTAGAAATGATTTGGCAACTGACTAGATATGTGTGGTGAGTGAGAGAGAGAACTGAAGATAAAACCATGGGTGCAAATCCGTGTGACTGGGAGAACAACAATCATCAGTAGTGAAGTTGAGGATTTTCTGGGGAAGATAATGAATTTTGTTTTGGAAATAATGAGTATGAGATGCTTATAGGATATTCACTTCAAAATATCCATTAGGCAGTTAGTGATGGGAGACTAACGCTCAAGAGAAAGACGCAGATGTGGGAACCATTTGCATAGTTAATGATAATTAAACCCACAGGAACCAAGGAAGTCCCCAGGCAAGTTAGCATAGAGAGAAAAGTGAAGAAAGGCCAGTATAGAGCTTCAGGGACAATCACATTAGTGAACATGATATGGATGAAGATCTAGCAAAAAACACTGAGAAAGATCAATTAACAAGGTGAAGAAGAACCAAGAGACAGCAGTCATGAAAATTCAGAGTGATCATATCCAGGATGAAAAGGTGAGTCAAATCCAGAGATTAAGAAGGATAAATGTTCAGAAAAGGCCATGTGATTTGACAATGAAGACATTCCAAGTACCTCTGGAGTGAACAGTTTCAGGTAAACGATAAGGTTGGTGGCTGGATTGGAAAGCATATAGAAGTAAAAGGAGAAGTGGAAGGCCCTAGTAAAAGACAGATTTTTCCAGGAGTTTAGCTTACCAATCAACCCAGAATTTAAAATATAGAAAATAGAGCAAAGGCAGGAAATGGGATAATAAAAAATTATCCTGTGAATGAGCATCAGGAATTCTAAAGCCCCAAAGGAATTGAGGCTGGTAAGAGAAGCTCAGTCTCACCCCCTCACACACAAAGGGGTCTGGAGTAGGAACAGTCATATTGGGAAAAAGAAGAGGGTCAGAGAATGGATAAGACCTTTGCTTGGAGTGGGTGGGATAAGTGGAAACAGAAAGAGGATGGACTTGTTCAATTCCTGTTTTGCTTTTGATTACTTCTGAAAGGAGAATAGCCATGGCAATGCAGTGTGAAAACAAAAATTGCTCACAGGGAGCTGGTATACAAAATAAGGAGGTAATATGAAGACAGCCTAGATGATGAATTCATATTGTCTAAATCTTTGGGTACTGAAGGAATGGCTGATAAGATTACTAAGCCACTGTAAGTGATATATGAAAGATCACAGAAAACAGGAAAGGGAATGCAGGTCTAGATAATGATGGATGCTGTTCTCTTTTTTAAAAAATAAGAACAAATTAAGAATATAATTCACAAACTGCAGACCAGTGAGGTTGACTCTAGTGCCTGGAAAAATTGTAGGATAGATCATCTAGGAGACTGTTAATGAGCATCTAGAAAAGGAAGTAGTGATCATAAATAGTCATCTTTTTTAAAACTTTTTTGACATAGTTACTAAACTAGTAAATCAGGGGCATGTGTAGATATTGTTTGCCTAGATTTTTAGCAAACCACTTGATAAATAATCTCACACTCTTCTTGGGAAAAAAATGAAGAAAAGTGCATCATGTGATAATACAATTAGATGGATTAGACGGATTAGCAAGGTCCAGAGTAGTCATTAACGATTCAACACTGACCTGGAAGGATATCATCAGAGCTGTACTTGGTCCTGTGTTACATTTTTATCAAGTGGATAAAGATAGAGATGACATGCTCATTGAATGAAAGACTAGAGCACTGGGCAGAACCTAGTAAAAAGAAATTCAGCAGGGATGAATGTAAAGTCTTATACTTGGTTTCAGAAAAATCAACCTTATAAGTACAAGATGATGGAGACATAGACAGTAGTTGATGTAAAAAGATTCTAGGGATTTTAATAGATTGAGTCAACATGAATTAACAGTGTGATGGGGTAGTGGGAATCATTTGCATTAAGATGATAACTAAAGCCACAGGAATCAATGAGGTCATCAAACAAGTTGGTATGGAGAGAACAGTGAGGGGGCCAGGACAGTCTTGGAGATACCCAGAGTTGGTGGACGTGGCACGAATGAAGGTCTAGCAAAGGACACTGAAAAGAAGTTGTTAGCAAGGTAAAGAAGAATCAAGAGAGTAGTTATGAAAACTCTGAGAGATAGTATCTAATGTTCAGAGCACCACCGTTTACTAAGTACATTGATAAGTGGTTAAGCATCCAGAGAAGAGCAAACAATAGAGTGAAAGGTCTTGTTTGAATTCATGTCAAATGAAGATCCATTGAAGGAACTGGGCATGTTTAGCTTAGAGGAGACTCTGAAGACATCATAGCTGTCTTCATGTATTAAGGCAGCTTAGTGGTAACACGAATAGAGTGTGCTGGGCCTGGAATCAGGAAGACCTGAGTTCAAACGTTATCAGACACTTACTAGCTCTATGACTCCAGACAAGTCCCTTAACCTCTGTCTGCCTCAGTGTCCTCATCTGCAAAATAGTGATTAGTAATAGCACCTAACTCCCAGGATTGTTGTGAAGATCAAATCAGATAATATTTGTAAAGTGCTTAGCACAGCCTGGCACATAGCAGGCACTTAATATGTGTTTATTCCCTTCTCTTTTCCTCTCCCCTAAAGAGCTGTCCTATGAAAGAGATTAGATTTGTTCTGTTTGGCTTCAGAAGGCAGAACTAGGAACAACGGGTAGAAATTGTAAAGAGGCAAATTTAAGCTTGATGTCCAGAAAATCTTTCTAACAATTAAGAGTTGTCCAAAAGTATAACAGACTCCCTTGAAAAATGCTGGGATTCCTCTCCTTGGAGGTCTTTAAGCAGAGGCTGTATGACTACTTATCAGGAATGTTACAGTGAGGATTTCCTTCAGTTATGGTTTAGGCTAGTAAGTATCTTTTGAATTTTAATTCTATTTCAAAGCTTTCAAATCCAAGAGCTTGGATTTGAACTTGAGTATAACGAATACACATGCAACACTGTTCTTACTTCACTACACTGCAAAAATAACTGGGTCTCAGTTTTCTGGTTATAAATTTCTTTTAAAGTTTCTTCTTTTAGTCTCTTCCATGGTCCTCTCCACTTTGGTCACTTTGGTCCAGAAATCTCACATCCTCCTTCTTTCCCTTCTCTTTGTATGTCTGTCTGTTTTCCCTCTCTCTCCACTTTCTCTGCCTCTTTGTGTTTCTGTGTCTGCTGCATGTGTTTGAGACCACACACACACACACACACACACACACACACACTCATTAGCTCAAGCAAACTTCCTAAAAACTATTTCACAAGCCTTTACTGAAAATGCAATTATCTGCTTATTCTTCATGTAGGTGTCCCGGCAAACACCTATTAAGACAGTATGCAATGTTAAGTTATTATGCGTGTATTTTCCTGTTTTTATTTTAAACGTTAATAAAATTACAAATCTCTTACTTCTTTCCTGGTTCGCATAGCAGCTTCTTGTACAAGTTGAGAAATTGTTTCTTTCATTTTCTCAATTTCTTCTTCTTTTTGTTTCTCTTCAAGCAATGCCTTCAGAAAACAATAACTTATATTATTATAAAAAGTATTATTAATGATAAAAATAGCATATGGGTAAAAATCTATTCAATAATTACTCCAAAAACTGAGTTTTTAATTTTCTATTTCCATAAACCCAGAACAGAAATCAAGATCTCTTGTGACTCAATGGACATTCATTCACTCAAATGAACTCTTCTATCCAAGTATATCCATTCTCTCAAAGGTAGAGAGGATTATAAGTACTTAATAGATGCTCACTGACTATTCTAAAAACCTTGGAGCCCTATTTGACTCTCAATTTCCCTGTATTCTCTTTGAGGGAATTCCCTCAGAGCTAGGAATAGAACAGCAAGTAGTTAATTGTGAGAATTGAGTGAACCACCCTGACTCCATCTTATGATTCAATTCTGGATCTAGCTCAGTTCCCTTCCCATTCAATTATCACTCTAGTCCAAATTATGTCTTGTAAGAAACTTTATTCATTTGTAGGAATTGGGAAAAACCTTATTGTATTGTTTGAATCTAGCCCTGCGTGACTGGGAAGGTAGATCACCTCTACCTGTTCCTTAGAGACCTTTAATCAAGAACCTAGATAATGCTGACCAGAAACCTAGTCAGACACAAAGATTGATGCAATGAGTTTCCTCACAATTGTACATTTCAAGCAACCCATATGTCTTATCTCATACTGATCAAACAGTTATTGTTTTTGATTGTTTACAGATACTTGGGAGGAGTGGGACACTTCTCTTTCTGATTTCAGGGAATTCAACCTGTTCACTCTCTCCTACCCAACTTGGGAAGTCCCTAATCTTTCATCTAATTAGAAATTAGATGACTAATACTGTATTGTTTCCTTTTAATTAACTGGCCTTTTTTGATTAATTGTTTTTAATGTATAAAAGTCTGTTTCCACCTATATTCAGAATCCAGCCCTAAGCTGAGGAAGGAGCTTGGTCCCAATTTTCTAGGCAATTGGTATGAACTGCTTAATAAATAAACGTACTTAGAAGCTTGAACTTTTGTTTCCTCAGTCATTTCATCTTTTACCCACAACATCTCTACCTAAGGTCACCTAAATCTGGCTTTCTATCCTTAAAATAGCTTTTGGGTTTTTCTCTTTCTTGTCTGTTGTATCTGGACTCACCATCGCATGTCCAAGATTGCTGCAAGAGCCTCCTACCTATTCTTCCCAGAATCATATTTTTTTTCCCTAGTGAGGCAATTGGGGTTAAGTAACTTGTCCAGAGTCACACAGCTAGTAAGTGTTATGTGTCTGGGGCCAGATTTGAACTCAGGTCCTCCTGACTCCAGGGCTAGTGCCCTACCTAGTCTTCTTTACTTGATTTTCTTCTTCCATTTTTTCTTGCTGCCACCCTTTTAATCATCTTAACATACATCTCTGATCATGAGAGAGTCACTTTACCTCACTGGGTCTCAATTGACTGGCCTGTAAAATAAGGGGACTGAACTAAATGGCCTCTTAGGCCCCTTTCAGCTCCAGATACAATGACTCTATATCACCTTCCGGTTCAAAGTAATTCACTATATTTCTAAATCAAGCACAAATTCTTTAGTGTAGCACTCAAGGTCCTCAGTAATCTGGCATCAATCAGATTATGGAGTTTTGAAAATCATATTTACAACTGCCTACATTATCAGATCCCACTTACTATATTTAGCATCTCCTATACTCCAGCCAAATTAGCTTACTCAGTGTTTACCAAACACATTCCCTGTTTTCCACCTATGTGCTTATATTCACATCATTTCCTCTGCCTGGAATGTACCCTGTAACCCTTAGACATGAACATAAACACATACACAATTCCTTGTGCTGAAATTCTACCCACACACTAATGCACTGTTGATGGAGTTATAAACTCATCCGACCATTCTCGAGAGCAATTTGGAAGTATGCCCAAAGGGCTATAAAACTGCATACCCTTTGATCTGGTTAATATCACTACTATTAGGTCTATATCCCAAAGAGATAAAAAAACAAGGGAAAAAAGGACCTACTTGTACAACAATACTTATAACAGCTCTTTTTGTGGTGGCAAAGAATTGGACATAGATGGTATGTCCATCAAGTCAAGAATGGCTGAACAAGTTGTGGTATATGAATGTAATGAAATACTCTCAATCATGCTATAAGAAATGATGAGCAGATGGATTTCAGAAAAACCTGGAAAGCTTTACATGAACTAATGCAAAGTGAAGTGTGTAGAACTAGGAGAACATTGTTACACAATAACAGCAACACTGTACGATAACCAACTATGAATGACTTAGTTATTCCCAGCAATACAATCTTTCAAGACAATTGCAAAGGTCTCACATATTCACATCCAGAGAAAGAACTGACAGAGCACGAATATATGTCAAAACATACTATTTTCATTTTCTTTATTATTTTCATGATTTTTTTCTTTTGGTCCATTTCTTCCTCCACAGTATGGAAATGTTTTGCATGATTACACATATATAACCTATATCAAATTGCGTAGGGAATAGGGAAGTGAAGGAGGGAGGGAGAAAATTTGTAACTTAAAATTTTTAAATGAATGTTAAAATTTGCTATTACATGTAATTAGAAAAAATAAAATACTATTAAAAATGAAATCCTATCCACTCATTTTTCAAGGCTAACCTTTTCTATGAAGATTTCTCTGACCTGCAGCCAAATATGACCTCTCTCATCCTCTGAATTTTCATAGCAGCTGTTGCTACCTCTAAGAAGCACTTTTCATACTATATTCTGTATTTAAATTGGGTACTTATCTTATTTCTCCTCTATAATCACATAATTTAATTATTTCCAACAGCTTTGATGTCAGGTTTTTTTTTTCAAAAGGACACACACAATTATTAAAAGGTGAATTTTCAAGAATATAATTTTTTTATTTAATCTCAATTAGAAGCTCGTACTCCCTATATTGTTTTGTACTTTGGGCACAGGTAGCTTAAATAATTACCATGCCTTTTTATTTTTTTTGAGTCTTACTAATTTATTTATTTTTAGTTTTCAACATTCACTTCCATAAGATTTTGAGTTCCAAAATTTCTCCCTATCTCATCCCTCCCCCCACCTCAAGATGGCATGCATTCTGAATATCCCTTCCCCTAATGTGCCCTTCCTTCTATCTTCCCCTCTTCTCTTGTCCCCTTCCCCTTCTATTTTCCTGTAGGGCAGAATAAATTTCTATACTCCATTGCCATATCTTATTTCCCAGTTGCATGTGCAAGCAACTGGGTTCCAAATTTTCTCCCTCTCTCCCCACCCACCCTCATTGAATAGGCAAGCAACTCGATACATACGTAGTCATGCAAAACACTTCCACAGTAGTCATGATGTGGAAAACTAACTATATTTCCCTTTGCCCTATCCTGCCCCCCATTTATTCTATTCTCTCTTTTGACCCTGTCCCTCCTCATAAGTATTTACTTCTGATTACCCCCTCCCCTCTATCATCCATCTCCCTGCTCTCTTATCCCCTTTCCCCCCTCCCCCATTCTCCTGTTGGGTAAGATAGATTTCCATACCCAATTGAGTGTGTATGTTATTCCCTCCTTAAGCCAAACCTGATGAGAATAAGATTCAGTCATTCCCTCTCACCTTCCCCCATTTCCCCTCTACTATAAAAGCCTTTTGTTGTCTGTTTTATGTGAGATAATGTACCCCCTTCTACCTATATCCCTTTCTTCTCCCAGTATAACCCTCTCTCATCCCTTAATTTTATTCTCCAGATATCACCCCTTCATCTTCAACTCACCTTGTACCCTTTATCTATCTATCTATCTATCTATCTATCTATCTATCTATCTATCTATCTATCTATCTGTCTATCTATCTATCTACATATAATTTTTTCCCTTCCAACTACTCTAATACTGACAAAGGTCTCAAGAGTTACAAATATCATCTTTCCACGCAGGAATGTAAACAATTCAACCTTGATAAGTCTCTTATGATTTCTTTTTCCTGTTTACCTCTTCATGTTTCACTTGAGTCTTGTATTTGAAAGTCAAATTTTCTATTCAGCTCTGGTCTTTTCATCAAGAATGCTTGAAAGTCCCCTATTTCACTAAATGATGATTTTTTCCCCTTAAGGATTATATTCAATTTTGCTGGGTAGGTGATTCTTGGTTGTAATCCTATCTCCTTTGATCTCCTGAATATCTGGTCCCTTAATGCAGAAGCTGCTAAATCTTGTGTTATCTTGATTGTATTTCCACAACACTTGAATTGTTTCTTTCCAGCTGCTTGCAATATTTTCTCCTTGACCTGGGAATTCTGGAATTTGGCTACAATATTCCTAGGAGTTTTCCTTTGGGGATCTCTTTCAGGAGGTGATTGGTGGATTCTTTCAATTTTTTTTTTGGTCCTCTGGTTCTAGAATATCAGGGCAGTCTTCCTTGATAGTTTCTTGAAAGATGTGTCTAGGCTCTTTTTTTGATCATGGCTTTCAGATAGTCCAATAATTTTTAAATTCTCTCTCCTGGATCTATTTTCCAGGTCAGTTGTTTTTCCAATGAGATATTTCACATTGTTTTCTATTTTTTCATTCTTTTGGATTTGTTTTACAATGTCTTGATTTCTCATAAAGTCACTAGCTTCCATTTGCTTCATTCTAATTTTTAAGGAAGTATATTTTCTTCAGTGAGATTTTAGACTTCCTTTTCTATTTGGCCAATATTGCTTTTTAGAGTATTCTTCTCCTCATTGGCTTTTTGGACATCTTTTGCTATTTGGATTGGGCTATATTTTAAGGTATTTTCTTCACTATTTTTGGGGGGTCTCCTTTAGCAAGCTGTTGACTTGTTTTTCATGATTTTCCTGCATCACTCTCATTTCTCTTCCCAGTTTTTCCTCTACTTCTCTTACTTGCTTCTCAAAATCCTTTTTGAGCTCTTCCATGGCCTGGTACCAATTCATATTTTTCTTGGAGGCTTTGGCTGTAGGACCTTTGAGTTTGTTGTCCTCTTCTGGTTTATGTTTTGATTTT